AAATCTCTTCGCTCCCGGAAAAAAATGAGAAAAAACATGTCCAGTGAAATCGATTCCCTTTAAAGTTAACATGGGGAAAAACATAGTCTTCAGCAAATGGAAGCTACCCTCCCACCGATTTTACATGGAACCTGACAGGGCTCTATTAATAAACTGGGGTTGGTTTATATGGGGTCAACAGTACTACCCTCCCATTGACATGGAAGCTGACGTTGGCGGGGTCCTGGTTTGGCACATGTTCCTTTTAAAGGGACCGGGCCTCGAACGTCGGGTTCCATGTTGATTGGTGGGAGGGTATATGGCTTCAGTGTCTACAATTCAGCCCATACAAACATAGCCGACATTGAATAAAACCTATCTAAGCCAGTGCCATCTGTTTCTAGCCAAGCTAACCTCAAAAGGATCCAGTGAGGCTTTGTTCCCCGACCTTTCCTTCTCCGGCCGCGAGGAATCCTCCCCCGGACCGCTCTGGAGCTGCTCCGTGGGAGACCCCAGAGCTTTCAGCTGAACGCGACAAAGGAGAGGGAAAACCTCATTGGAGGTCTAACAAGAAATATGTAAACACCCAAAACCCCAAAACCCGAAGCTGAAACGCCCCTCTTCTCCCCAACACTTTTTGGGTTGCACCCCTGGTCAAAAGGCCACAAATCAGCTGTTCAAACGGATTCGTGCTGAAAATCAACCGGACGCTGCCAACCTTGGGCCCCAGCGCGGTCGCCAGCATCGCCAGCATCGCCAGCATCGCCAGCATCGCCAGCCGGCGCCGCGGCATCGCGCGCATGGCGCGAACCACTGCCGGAAGGCTTTCCGGTTGCAAGGGCAAAATGTCTTGGCCGAGCCCCTCAGTTTAGGGTCAAAGCTTGTGGCACTCCGCCAACATTGGAAAAGGCGCCATCTTTCCTGGTCGCACTGCAGTGTTATGCTGTGCGGTGGTGGGTTCAAGAATTTGTGAGATAACTGCAGACTGTATGTGTTACAAACCATGCGATCTTTTGAGATTCATGGAAAATTAAGTAGCTCCAAAACATCTAAGAGGTGTCGGATTGACCTACAGGCTCAAAGATCAAGCAATCGCTGCTTACCCCCGCATGCCGCGCTGGATGAGGCTACGAGTCTATGATGTCCTCTGGATTTGCATCGACAGTGTTCTTGAGCTCGGATTGCACATATTGAGTACAGACAACTGGACAGCTTTTGGCTGAGAGTGGCTCCAAAATTTCAGGAAATTCTCATAACTAGAAATGTTGAACATGGCACTCAATAAGAAACCAACCCGAATTTCCAAATCCCAATAGTTTCCCAGTTTTGGACACATACCCACATGCGGTGTGCGTGCGAAGCCACCGGCCAAAGCCGCAAATTCACTGCAAGGCACACGCCTTTCAAGACGCTATCAGAAGACTGTCAAACAGGAGAGAGCAACATTTCACACCAAAAGTGGTTGCTGATGCATTATCCAATATTAGAACCCTGAAAGCCTGGAAAGCGAAGCCGCCCCAGGGCCAAAACGGTGTAGGACGGGACCATTCCCCAACGGATCTTTGATCCGACCATTTGAGGTTCCATATCAGTTTCTTGCTTGGTATCCACCCAGCTTGGGTTGGCATCTGGGTGAATAGGGGTTATAAACAAGACAAACACATGTGCCGAAGAAGCTACTTGTTTGGGTTAGCTAAAACTAAGCACGTTTGTTTGGCAAACAATTCAGTTTTTCGGGTTGCTCTCCCCTGAAACGGAACCCCCTTTAAAGGGCCGAGAAAAAAGAAGAGAAAAAAACAAGAGGAAAAACAAAAACGGGCTGCAACGGGTTTGGTCCCCCGGCGGAGCAGCAGCTGAGCAGCAGCTTGGCGGCCCAAGCCTCGTCCTCCCAAAAACGTTAGCCAGACGCGGCTCGGAAGCCGAGGACTCGCTTTGGGAAGGCGGAAGACCTTTGTTTCTTTGTCCAGGTCCTCCAGTGTTGCTCTGATCCAAGTGTTGCCTCTTTTGACAGCAGCTTCAACTAGGTCCTCATTTCTGCAGAGGTTAGAATAAGGGTACCCGATTTTTATTTGATTTTTTCCGTAGTCTATTTTAGTAGGGGAACCCTCCCAAGACAAAAGATGAGAAAGAGCACTACTGGGGGACCTAGTTGTGCCTGTTGTTGGCAATGGGAACCGCAACCCATTCTAGAGGAGAGTGGTTCGTTTGCTTCTTTGTTGGGATTGATGGGAACTCCCCAACCAATTTAGGAGAGTTTGTGTGGGGGCGGAAAACCTTTGTCTTGCTGGTGCTCAGTGGGGAATGACCCAGCTTCCGGATGTTAGGAATGAACCCCATCCGGATTAGGCAAGATGAATCCGGGGTTCAATATCACCCTGGCACAAATGGTTGTCAATAGTACCGGCAGAGGGTCAACATAGGCGGTTGCCGAAATCAAACAATCCGAAAAAGGAAGGGATCCCGACATGAATCCTAGTTATCCCGTCAAAGGAACCTTTCGTGCCTTTAAGTAGTCGATTCCATGTTAATGAGAGGGACCATTCATGGACGAGTGTATCACGATGCTCTTGCTTTGCAGAGATTGCCTGGATAGTTCAACCAGCGGCAACCAAAACCCCATGCTTCACAGCCACGGATCGCAATTCCCTGATGTTGATCCTGGACTCACAAAGATGGGGGGTGATTCCTTCCGTCCCCTTTCCGTGCAGGGTGTTGTGAAACGGAGACAAATTCATGTTCAAGTACCCTGACAAAACGGTTTCAACATGGCAGGCAGGTCCTGTCAGTTGGCATTCAGATGCTGTCGTTATGGTGGACCCACATCGACCCTTATAGAGATCTTTTAGACGTGTTTCCATTGAACCGATTCTCAGGGAGAAGGGGGAAGCTCAGTCAAAACATCACAGAATAGTTATGTAGCATGTGTCTGGCACCATGCGTGAACCCATGAAAGGCCAGCCTACAGGCATCCTTAGTTTGGTTGTCTACATTCGCAAGCAACAACTCGATATTTTAGCTCCCCTGTTTGTTCGGCCACTTGACTCCCATGTAGTTGGTGTTCCGTATTCATACTTAGTTCACTTGCACAATGGATCCATGACCATTTTCTGACCGCAAGCTGCGCTTGTTCTTTGCTGTCTCCATTATTAGGCCTTTTGTCGAGTAGGGAGAGCATGCTGCGAGATTCTCAGCTTACTTCGAGATCACCACCTGGAATTCACAACTGGTTGATTAACAGGCCGGTGTCCCGTTCTACAGGAGCTCCAAATCACCTTTGAGGGTAACACTCTGCCTGAGCTCGCTCCCTCAAGTCGCTCTCCTGTTGTGTAATTGGGAAGAGGGAAGTGAGTCACAATAACAGATCAGGAGCGTTGAGTGACAAGAGTGTATCACCCTTCGGGACAAACCGACCCCAAAAGTGCATAGGTAGAGAGACGAGCTACCATTCCATTCATCCCCAGTTCATCATCCGGGACCATCCGATCAGGAATGGGACTGGCCATCTCTTTCTAGCCTATTTATTGTTGAGGGCTGGCTGGTCGATGGAAGAGGATAACAGCTACCCTATTCCTGCATTTGGTCTGTCTCCTGAGTCTATTAGTAGCTGCCTCTCTTCTCTAAAATCCCAAGACCCTGTATTGGTCTTTATCTTGCCACCATCGGTTAGTCGCGAGGGGACGTAGCCTTTCTCCTCCATTTACCTGCTCTCAAATAGAGACGAAGGAATGTGAGGATGGGAGTTAACAAGAAAGAGAGATGGGAGAGAGTACAGCCTAGCATAAAGCGAGCCAGGCTTATCACTATTCCTATCTCTTTTCCCATTCGTTATAACTTAACCTTACGTCTTGGAAATAGGAATGGGACAAGGAAAGGAATGGACACTCACCTCTATCCCCTCGCTCACAAGCAACCAAAAAGCAAGGATATGAGATAGAGAGCTCCATTTACTAGCATTATATTTCTGTGGGAATAGGAGTACAGAATCTGTGATTCCCTGTTTCACCTGTCTTTTGATGGAATAGTTGAAGGCCGAGGGCAATCAATAGCATCCGTCCATAGAGGGGTGTACAATTTTTCCGGCAGGATTGAAAGGCAAACTCGCCCAAACTAAGCACCAGTATCCACAACAACATCAGGCTTTCTTCATCCCCACGCCCGGGATTGGGAGTTCGACCCCATAGATGTCGCTGTTGGCAAAAATGAAGAATGCAAGTCTCAGCAGTTCAAAGGCTGATTGCATAGGTCCATACGTACATGAGTGACCAGCACCCTTTGGGGGCCTAGTTTCCCCATAATTAAGCGATAACTTCACGCAAGTAATTCAGCCACAAACTAGGGGTTGAAACCAGGGGTTCATATTTGGCCTCTGAGCAGTTTCATCTTTTTCGTGATGACATCAACAAAGCTGCCCAGTTGTTTGTCACATGTGGCCAAGATGAAAAAGGGGCTTTTTCAAATCGGATTGTGAGGCCAAACCCACCCCACAAGGGTGTGCCATTTTTTAGGGGACCCCCAAATTGGTGGAATTGGTGGTGTCTCGTCAAAGCCGCCAAAGCGGGGTACCCCCAAACAAAGACACGCCCCAAAACGACTCGGGAAACGAATTACGAATTGCACGTGCCCCAGTGGAAGTCTTTCTCTTTGCGGGCGCCTCGTCGTCCGAAGTTGAGGCTGACACGGCCTGCGTCACTGTGCCTTACCCTTGCGGAGCTTCTCTCATGCGCGAGGAACAAAACGATAAACAAAATATGGCTGTGGGTCAAAATTTAACCACCAGGGGACCGCAGGTTTTAGTCCATGGTTCCATTCACCAGGGTTCCATTTTGGGTAACTATTTTTGACCCACATCCATATGTTTACCTGCCAACCAGCTTCCAAATCTAATCGAAAGTCTTGCCGTTCCTGCTTCACACAGCAAAGCTGACCGGTACGGGGGGGGCTTTGATTGATGGCCTTTTGGGGTCCAAAAGGAAACCTGCCAACCGTCTTCCTAAGAAACTGGCCTTCTTTTGGGATCCCCTGAGAGGGGAGTTCAAGGGCATCTGCATTTCCTGAAAGGAATCCAACAATACCTTGGCTTTGTCTCCAAGTAAACAACCTAAGCAAGTTTGAGCATCATGTTCTGGCAGATTCAGGGCAGTGTCCTGGTGAGGTGATGTTCAAGGATAAAACACTGGGATCCCTGATGGGTGTGTCGCTTTTTCTCATCGACAGCTACAGAGTCACACCGCTGGGAGGGTTGTGCGGAGCTTCCAGTCGTGGGGAATGGTGTTCATCCAATGCTGGGAATACTGCTCAGCATGTTGGAGGGACAAGTCTTGGGCGGGCCAAAAGGCTCCCTTTGCCTAAAGTTCAGAAAGGTTCAAGCGCACGAGCTTGCAGGCACGCCCTGGAACTACATGGCAGTTGCTCGTTTACCGTCGTACCAGCCCAGCCCAGTTGATCCAGCAACCGTGCTGGGAAGACTTGAAGTTTGACAATCCTCGAAGTGGACCCACCCAGAACCCAAGCCGCCTCGATGAGTAGATCGAGAATGCCATGTCCTGCAAAGCAAACTGAAACTATGACACAAATAAACGCACAGCACATCTGTAATACTTGTCCAAAGGACCTCAACGAAAAAAGGCCAACATTTGGAAGCCCAAATCATTTGGACCTCTGGTGGATAAGGTCAGAAGAGAGCAACTGAAAGATCCTGATTTTGTGCTGGAACCCGAAAGCGATCAGGTGCATATTGCAAAAGTTGTTGCAGGCTTCTGCTAACGTGGCGGACACGCTGCCATTGCGCCATAGCCCCTGCATAAATCGCAAGGTCGGAAATCCATACACAGGAGCCAGAACCCAACCAACTTGGGGACGCCACCCGACTCCTCGCAGCAGAATACCCAAGCAGCGGCAAAACTTCCCATCCTAGCGCGCAGTTTGGCCAACGGCGGTTCAAAAGCATCCAAGGGCCATTGGTGCGGGCCAAGGAGGGACCTGTGCACAAGAAAGAGAAATGCACATGTTGGATATGCCAACGTGTTCTTCTGAAGCGACATTGAGCGCCCATACCAATGGCATGCAACAGCCCACGACTTCTTTGCACCCCACCTTTTACCAGCTTGCGTAAGATGAGTGATGCGAACAACCGTTCAAGCCAGACCCCAAAAGAGCACTTGCCACCCAAAAAAGAAGGCACTGGACCAGTTGTCGGGCGTCTCACGCATCTGCCTATCGGGAACTACCAGTTTTCATTTGGGCGTGGAGTCGCGCTGGTGCAGCGCGCCGTGCGCGCAGTGCAATTCCACTTCTTCCGCTCATAAGGCAGGCTCTGCCAATGAGTGTAAGCAGCCCACACTTGTCTTCTGAATTGCCTGCATGAAGCCACTTTCAACATCCAAAAGCATGGCCGCATCTAGGTGAGGCAAATTACATCAGAGGCACGTTGCCTGGTCTGAGAAGTCCACCACAACTTGCGAAGACTTGCGACTTTGGACGCGGTGACCCCCGTGCCTCGCAGGGTTTCTGCAGCGCCCGGAGCCGTTGTCCCAGTGCCTCGGGTGCGCGTTTGAGGCAAAAACAGAGGAATATGGGCGTGCGTCAAAATAGGGAGGCCCAGGGCCTCCGAAATGATCAGCCCTTCCTGTGAACCCACCTATGGCTAAAAAAACAGAAGAACACACATCTCCTCAGGCACATGACTGAAACCAAACCAAAGAGCCCCAACATGGCACCCTGCTTTTGGGGCTGCGTCAGGGCCAAAGCTCGAAACGGGGCCCGAGCCTCGGCGGAGGCCGGCTCTGGTGGGTCCTGTGGGGCCAAGCGGCGCCGATTCGACGAGCGCTTCCTCCACTTCGACATGCCCTTGCAACATGTTCAAACATTTGTTCCTACCACCTGCTTGGGCGTTAAAAAAAAAAAAACATGTTTTGAAGATTTTCTCGAGTTGCTGTTGGTTTTTGTTGTTGTGGTTTTACATGAGAGTGGTGTACTGATGCGTGCTGTTCCGAGTATTTCACCAAACGCAGGCGCCATGGCGGGCCTTCTGGTACCTTAAAGGGGGCCAGGGTCCAGTGGTTTGAACGATTCTTGCCCAAGCCTGCTGTTAGGTGTGAACACGCACCAAATAATGGGCACATGTTGCTCCAATTCTTCTTCTTCCTACTTCACGCATCTTGGGTGAGCAACCCTCTAATAACCTTATAACCCCCTTCGTGGCCTTGGGAGCTGTGCAAAGAATCGTTAGGGAGCGTCCTTTTTTGCTCCTGTGTCAACACAAGACTGAAGCTTTTTCGGGGTTCAGGGTTCCGAAAATCTAGTGGGGACCGGCAGATTCTCTAGACACGTGAAACATCACCATGCAGAGGTCAATCGTTGAATCTTAATTGAGCTTCCTTTCAGAGGAATGATGGCAGGGTTGGGCTTCAGGAACGTCAGCGGCTCGCTGCCTCGTTTGCTGTCGCGCTGGAATGTAACAAGCTCTCTGCTTCCCGGCTGCCAAAACTATGAAGCATCCCCCGCAAGGAAAGCACAGGAGGTTTGGGGCAACCCTGGATGCGCTTGCCGGAAAAACAATAATACAAGACACAAGAAAACTGCCCACTCTTAGGTGTGCCATATGGCGGGGGGAAAACACAGCAGGGCCTCCCTCCCAAGATACCTGCCAACTTTTAGTTGCTGATCCCCATCGGCCTCCGCGGCCATCTTTGCAGCCGAGATCTCCTGCGCGAAGAAAAAAGATCGAGGAGGCGACCGAAGACCAGGGTTGAGCCACACTTCTATTGCTTGGAACCCCTGTTGGTTCCCTTTAAAGGGGGCACGGTGCTGGGCTGCCCTCAGATCCCCCGCTACAAGTTTAACTTTTCTTGCTTAAATGGAAAGAAATTTGCTTAAACCAACGTTGCCCAAGCCGTGAAACAGCCTCCACCAGAAGGCTTGCAGCGCGGTGAACCGGCAGAAGGCGCAACCTCAGAAAAAGCAGCTGGCCTTGTTCTAAGGGTAGCTTCCATGTCCATTCTTTCCAGGGATCCGAATCTTTCTAGGAAACCACCAAAGGCCCTGAGAAAACGGATCCGGTTTTTGGAAAGAACGCTAGTTGAACAGAATGGGGAATCAACCCCTAGACTTGTTGCAGTTGGCCTCTCTTCAAAACACACGCCTCCAAATAATGATGAAGTAGTCTTAATGGGCTTGCATCCATCCCAACAGAAAACAGATTCAGAAAGAAACGCCCGAGTGCAGGTGCTCATCCGCCCTTTGCCGACTCCAGAAGCAACCTTGACACAGTCAGAAGCAAGTCTCAATGCTTGGATTGAGAGCCGCAGGCGTTTTGCACCGAGATGTGCCATATGCTCTGGACCAATTTCCAAATGCGTCAGCGTAAGCATCCATGTGATCCACGAGATGCATCAGCCACTCAACCCCATGAGGGTGAAGGGTTGCACACTGAGGGAAACGGCTTTTGTCCTGGTGCCGTAGGGTTTCGTGGAGGAAACTGTTCACATCTTGCCCCTCCGAGTTTCAAGGTGACGCTTTGGGAGTGTACCTGTCCTAAGGAAGGTAATGTTGACCCCTGTTTCTTAACACGGGGGTCCCCTAATTAGTCCGGGGTCAACATTACAGAGAAACCGAAGGAACCTCATCTTGGGGACCCGGCGCGACGTCATCCGCACTGGACGGGTCGGCCTGAAGCTGCAATGCCATTCCCGCAAGCCCGCAAGGCACTCATGTGCCAAAACTACGTGTCTCGTGTTCCCGGTTGGAGGTAGGAATATGTATATATATATATATATATGGTGCAGCCACCCATGGTCATACAGGTAGCCCCCCCCTCCTTGTGCCCCTGTGGTCCCCGGTATCACATGTGTATATATATATATATGTATACATCTGTGTGTGATATTATGTTCATGTGTGTTGTTCACTGTAAGTTGCCATCTAAGATGAATCCTAGCTCCGTCGACCTGTGAGAAGCGCCTGCCAACAGGGCACTGAAAGTGCTGCACTCTCTTACTCAACTCGGTATCTCCAAATAGCAGCTTGGCAGAGTAACGATACATGTGTATATATATATATATATATGTATATACATAGAGAGAGAGAGAGAGAGAATCAAACACATCTGCTATCTTCAAGCAACAATGAAGACCAAACAATGCCAATAATCACCCTGGGAATCAGCTTCCCTCCAATAATTGGTTCTGATTTGTGTGGAGGTTACTGAAGGAGGGCTTCAAATCCGATTCCAAACCACCAATCCCAAGCACCAACCAGCCCCAGCAAGAGAAGGACTGCCAAATTCAATGCTTCAAGTCTTGAATATCCCCTAGAATCAGCAGGAAAAGGGCCAAAATCATATGTCAGCAGGATATCAACAGATCCCCCCCCCCCCCCCCAAAAAAAAAAAAAACAAGGGGGGGGGACCCTCAAACTAGCTCCTCCAAATTGTAGATTCAAGGGAAACCACCCAAATCTTTACCAAGTTGAAACTGCACCTGTGTCAACGAGCACGAGCTCCTGGACGTCCACGGACCAAAAGGCATTTGTTTCTCCAAAAGGGACCCTCTGGTGGTTTCGATGTTAGGTCCGAATTGGTCGCATCAAACAATGAAGTCGAGCCACTTCACCCTGACAAAGCTATCTTAAAGTCCACAGCGCCTTTTCTTCTTCCTTCCATTCAATCTTCCAACTATCCGGATCCTTGTGCAGGAAACCTGAGCCCCCAACCAGCCTAAAGACAATCTAAACATGTGCCCACCCACTAACTTGAAACCCACCAAAGGGTCCCTCATAGAGGAAACTGGTCCAGAAACCTTCGAAACCCAGGCTTTGCCTGGGGGGGCGGGGGCAGAAACAGTTCCGCCTGGTTGCCAACCATCCCAACCCAACCCCCCCCCTCCCTGCCTCCAACCAACCAACCCAACCAACCCAACCAACCCAACCAACCCAACCAACCCAACCAACCCAACCCACCCAACCCACCCAACCCACCCAAAGCTTGCAACTTCCTTTGGGTGTGGCTCAAAATCAAAGAGCTAGGGTTACGCAAGATTTTTTGTGTTTTGGTTTCCATTTACTTTGGGTACCCATTTTTTGAGCCACCGCCATTTAAGTCTCAGGCGACTTCCTCCCCTCCCGGCCAGCGGCCTCCGCCAGGCCGCAGCGACGCAGCAGCTCCGCCTCCTCGTACCAAGCCTTCCGAGGGATCGAGGGAGCACTTGGAGCTGCAGTGACCGGGGAAAATCACTTGAGAGGGGAGGTGGGGGGGAGGGGGGGAGCAGGGAGCAGCCTGGAGGGGGGCACTTGGAGCCTGGAGGGAGCCTGGAGCTGAAGGGAGGGGAGGGGGGAGGGGGGAGGGGGAGGGAGCCACTTGCAAAAGGACAATGGTCTTCCAGGGGAGGGGAGGGGGGGAGCAGGGAGCAGCCTGGAGGGGGGCACTTGAGCCTGGAGGGAGCCTGGAGCTGAAGGGAGCCACTTGCAAAAGGACAATGGTCTTCCAGGCCTAGGGGAGGGGAGGGGAGGGGAGGGGAGGGGAGGGGAGGGAGGGGGGGAGGGGAGGGGAGGGGAGGGGGGGAGCCTGGAGCTGAAGGGAGGGGAGGGGGGAGGGGGGAAGGGGAGGGAGCCACTTGCAAAAGGACAATGGTCTTCCAGGCCTAGGGAGGGGAGGGGAGGGGAGGGGCGGGGAGGCGAGGGGAGGGGAGGGGAGGGGAGGGGAGGGAGCCCGCTTGTGTGCCTGGCTTCGAGTGGCTTCTTTTTTTGAGGGGGTGCCCCTGTTGTTTGCTGGATAAAGATCGGCAGGGAATGAGAAATGGAACCTAACGCAAATACAAATCATCCAACTGGTGGCTTCCTCTAGGGGAGCTTGGCGGTTGCAGGAGTGAGGATTTCGTTGGACTTTTGAACAACCAATGGAGGAACCAACATACTGTGGATGGTTGCGAAATCTCGCACCACTTTGGAACCATGGTTGAAACCATTGTTGGCTGGTACTTACAGGGGAATCATCGTTCAAGGGTGTCTTAGGTGCAGGATTTCGTCCATCCACCTGCACAGGGGGTAGAAGACCATGTTCCTTGCAAGGGGACCGGTTCTGTGCAGGTTCAAGGGGGACTGGCAAAAAGAACATTCAAACTTCTAGGCTTGCCTCAGAAAGTTTTATAAAACTCTCTCAACAGATTCCCAGGTAACTGCTTCCCCAAAAGAGAAGCATAATCTCAATGGCGCAGTCTCAGTCACTCGTGTCAAGCTCGGACTCGGACACTTCATTCATATACGTCTGGTGGATGAATCGGTTGCTTTCTGCTCCCCTGCTAAAAGTTTAACTGTTAGTGGCTTAATGGAAAACCCATTAGTTGGCGACAAGTTGTTAAAGTCCTAGCATCCAAGCAAAATGCACCAAAGCATAGAGGGGGGGTGTGCGTGACCGATGTTCGAGCGGATCCTCTGGGGAATCGCGGACTCTCCCGGGCATCCTCGCTCCAAGGCGGTGCTCCCTGTGAAGAATGGGTCGGTTTCAGGGGCTTGCTCTTGGGGTGCTTCCTTTGCCAAATCTCTGGGGAGGTTGGCATGCCTGCAAGAACAAACAGAACGGAATCCATGCAGGTTTTCGAACAGGTGGTCGCAAAAGACCTTGGATTTGGGTTCACCTTGACATAAAAGTTGAATACAGCCCTCGGCTGCCCAAATTCATTCCATCCCAAGATGACATTGGATCTTGGCGAATAACCCCCCCCCCCGGCCCCACCCTAACCTGATCCCCAAGTCAGGTTCCATGTTTGCGGATGGTCGGGCAACCCCTCTTTGATTGACAAAAAAACCATGATCGTGCTGGGGTTCACCCCTCTTTGTTTTTAATCAAACAACTGAACATCCATCCAAAAAGGTTCAACCATCCACAAGTGTTTAACCCAAAAAGGGGCCCCTCAACACCCCAAAAATCCCAAAGGCCTCCATCAAACCCCCAGCTCGCCACGCTTGAGGCACGAGGCGCCTGGAGCTCGGGAAGCCTTTCCAGGCGATGCGCCACCGAGCCCAAGCGCTTCAGCGCCTTCGAAGCCGAGGCCGGGGCTCGGTCTCGAATGCGAAACGGCGGCAGTGGCTAGGGCTGTGGGACACGGAATCCACTTCTTGGGTTGCAACCCTGGTCAAAGGCCACAGATCACCTTTTCAAGTCCTTTTTTGAAGCTCCAACGGATTCTTCCGGGGCAGAGCTGTGGGAATCGGAATCCACTTCTGTGATACAACAGAAAAAAGAAGAAAAAAACAAAAACAAAACCCCCCAAGACGGACCCATACAAGGGGAGATTCCTTGGTATCACAGAAGTGCTTGGGTCAACCTGATCCCACAGCCCTGGTTTCCGAAACCCAAAACAGGGGGGGGGTTCCTATGGGAGGGCGCCAGCTGGACCCCAATTTGAGACAGCCTCTTGTCATTGGTGGCCCTTCTTTTCGCCATATGGTGGGCCATCGATTCCAAGCCGGAAATCGAACAACTCAGAGTTCCTCTGTTGATTGCTCCATGGACCAAAAAAACGACTCCAGCTGTGGAGAAAAAAAAGGACCCAAATTCCTGTTGTTGACTGCTCCAGGTAGACGGAAACCAAGCCAAAAAAAAACATGGACCCTTGGTTGAATCACCAAGCACCTTGAGCCGCAGTCGTCTCACCCGCCGCCTTAGAGGCCTTGGCCAGGCGCACGGCCGCCTTGGCGTGGCAGGGGTCCTGGTCGAGGACCCATGCGCCTGCGAGCGGATCGAAGGCGGTTGGACCCTGACCCGAATAGCTGGTGTCTGGTGTTCCCTTGAAGAGGAAACCCCTTTCAGCCTCAAGCTTGAAGGCGGCTCCAGGGAGCCCTAGCCCGTTACAGAAAGTCGAGATTGAATTAAACTGCCAATCCAACAAAAGGCTTTGGGTCGAGTCAAGTGCCCAGTGCAAGTCAAGCGTAGGATGAAAGGGGCCAGCCAGTAAAAAGCAAATTGTTTGGTTTCGAAAAGGAGCATTCTGTGCTTTTGGCTGCATTCTGCGAACCAGCCTTTTCGACACCACTCAGTTCTTGAGCGTTTGGTTCCCATTCTCCTGGGCCTCGAATTCCGCTATATGATCCCCCAGTCCATCTTGTTTGAGTGGATCTTTAAGCAAGATCCAAACAGAACTGGACCTTTGAGGACTAGCACCCAGCTGAAACCTGAATTTTCAACCACTACAAACATATGTGGCTTAAACATCTCCCGCCGATAGGAGACTCACTTCAAATTATCAATCCCAAACTTTGGGAAGTAAAGTAGTTCATTGAGATCCTGCTGCTTGGTTGACGTTGGGTTTGGGGAGCAACAAAAAAAAACTTTAGCAGTTAGGTGGTTGGATTTCAACCGCTAAACCACAATAAGCAAAAATGTAAAATGTGTCCTAACGACAACTATGGTTAGGTCAGATGGGAAAGTTTTGAGTGATCTACTTTGAGCCCAATCACCAACCTGTGGAGCAATCAGACTAGCCCCATCGCCACCAAAATCAAAGACCACCTAGGGCATCTACCAAAAAGGTTTGGCCTTTCCAAACCATAGGCTTTGCCGAATCAAACAACAAACCTGGGCTGTCCTCCGATCTCCCTGAAAGCTTAACTTACGAAAACAATCATGAAATCTTCAAAAGCTAAAAATCCTAAGGAACCAGATGGAAAATCACCCAGAAACATGTATCTATCCGATCTATCCTTCGTATTTTTCGTGAACCAGAGAAACTCTCCGACCCCAACTCTCAGCGCCCGGACGGCCGGACGGCCGGATGGCCGGACGGCGCCCGGCGCCGTCCAAAGGCGCCCCACGCCCCTCGGGCGCCCCGGCCGTCCGCGGCCGCGGCCTCGAAGACGCCCCGCCGCAGCGAGGCCTCGGCGCGGTTCGCGCGCAGGGCGAGGCGCAGGTCCCGCAGACGGCGGCCGAGCACCTGGGCGCGGCGAAGTCGACGTCGGGGCCGATGGTCTCACCCAAACCATGCCCCTGAATATGTCGCAAATAAGGAGGGAACCAAGAAAACAATGTATACACCTATATATACATATAATATATATATATATAGCAATATGAGCAGTCTCGAAGACCCTAGTCATCTGCTTGGTCTCAGGACACCCCACAGGCAAATGGGCACACGCGCCATGGTCAAAACCTCCTTCTATGGTCTAACGATTCCATCATTCCATCCGTCCTGACCCAAGGTACACGGTGCGTCAAAGGCCAAGGGCCAAAGGGCCACACCCCCTCCAAATATGCAGGGCCAGTAGTTCAGACCATCCTTGTCAATTTTAGCCGGTTCCGCAAAACCCAAGTGAGAGGGGCCCCCTTAGTTCACCCTGGTATGCAAAGGCAAACCAAAGCCAACCGCCTCGAAGCATGACATCCAACAAATTGTGCAGTGTTGGCCCGGCCTGGTCGTAGCCCTGCATGGTGTCAAGGCCCTGGCAACAGGATTTAGGCGACTCATCTGATTTGAACCTGTGAATAAACCACTACTGAACATGTTTGAACCTGCCGCAACCACAGTTGCTTGGACAATGCCTTGCTTAATCACGGGTAAACCACTGTTTTTTGGTTGGCAACCCTTGTGTAAACACCACCTGTGTTTGAAACACAGCGTCTTGAAACAGGCCTTTTCAAACACGATTGCTGAAAAACACCCCGATTGCCGGAACTGAACCAAGCCCTGTTCCTTCGTTCCCCCAAAAAATGGGAACCAAACTCCTTCAACATGTTTCAACCTCCCCTTTCGGCTTGAGCACAAAGATCCGAGCCCTGCCTGGGTATACAGGCGCTCGGCCTCCAGGTACCTCTCCTCCTTCATGGCCGCGTTCCCCCGCGCCTGGCGCGAGGGATGCAGACTTCCCCGGCCAAGAGGCCGCTCTCTCTAGTTCCAGGGGGAGGCCTCTACATTACAAGCACCAGCAGTTCAAATCCCAAATCCAAACAACCAATCCAAACCACCAATTGGAGGGAAGCTGAGAAGTGCCCCTTGAGCTGCAACAGAAAACAATGGATGACATCCCAACCCA